CTGAACTCTGTGGCTGGGCTCTGTGGCTGGGCCTTGTCCTCCTCTTGTCCTCCTCTTGGCCGCGCCCCTGAACTCTGTCAACTCTGTGGCTGGGCTCTGTGGTTGGGCCTTGTCCTGGCTCTGTGTCCAGGCCTTGCCCTCCTGTTGTCCTTCTCTTGCCCGCCCCCCATGAACTCTGTCAACTCTGTGTGGCTGGGCTCTGTGTCCAGGCCTTGTCCTCCTCTTGTCCTCGTTGTCCTCCTCTTGTCCTCCTCTTGGCCGCGCCCCTGAACTCTGTCAACTCTGTGTCCTCCTCTTGGCCGTGCCCCTGAACTCTGTCAACTCTGTGGCTGGGCTCTGTGGCGCACGCTCTGACATACGCTCCAGAAAGGCGCGCTCAGAGCGCGCTCTACAGAGAGAAAGACAGAGAAAGATAAACTTGAAGAGAAAGAGAAAGAGAAAGAGACAGAGAGAGAGAGAGAGAAAGAAAGAAAGAAGTTCCAGCAGCTAGGGCTGCTGTGTGTAGAGCCGGGTCAAAGGCGAATGATCCTTTCCCGGGCCACTTTTGGCTTGTGCCGTGGCCATGAGATTGCAGGCATAAAAGAACCGAGAAAAAAAGAAAGAAAGAAAGATAATGAAATAGAGAAAGAAAGAAAGAAAGAAAGAAAGAAACACAGCAGGGCGGGCGCGCGCGAGCGCTCGTGTGCTATGGACGGCGCGCTCACGCTCCAGAAAGGCGCGCTTAGAGCACGCTCTGCAGAGAGAAAGACAGAGAAAGAGAAACTTAAAGAGAAAGAGAGAGAGAGAGAAAGAAAGAAAGACAGAGAAAAACAGCAGGGCGAGCCAGCGCGCGCTCGTGTGCTTCGGACGGCGCGCTCTGCGCGCTCTGAAATACGCTCCAGAAAGGCGCGCTCACGGCGCGCTCTGCACAGAGAAAGACAGAGAAAGAGAAACTTAAAGAGAAAGAGAGAGAGAGAGAGACAGAAAGAAAGAAAAAAAGACAGAAAGAAAGAAAGAAAGACAGAAAGAAAGAAGGAAAGCAAAGAAAGAAAGAAAAAGACAGCAGGGCGAGCCAGCGCGCGCTCGTGTGCTTCGGACGGCGCGCTGTGCGCGCTCTGAAATACTCTCCAGAAAGGCGCGCTCACAGCGCGCTCTGCAGAGAGAAAGACAGAGAAAGAGAAACTTAAAGAGAAAGAGAGAGAGAGAGCGAGAGAGATAGAGAGAGAGAGAGAGAACAAAAGAAAGACAGCAGGGCGAGCGCGCTCGTGCGCGCTCTGAAATACGCTCCAGAATGGCGCGCTCACGGCGCGCTGCGCAGAGAGAAAGACAGAGAAAGAAGCACCTAAAGAGAATGAGCGAGAGAGAGAGAGAGAGAGACAGAAAGAAAGAAAGAAAGAAAGAAAGAAAAAAAAGGAAGGAAGGAAGGAAGGAAGGAAGGAAAGAAGAAAGAAAGAAAGAAAGACAGAAAGAAAGAAAGAAAGACAGAGAGAGAGAGAGAGAGAAAGAGAGCAGGGCGAGCGCGCGCGCGCATGTGTGCTATGGACGGCTTACTGGGCTCTTGTCCTCCTCTTGTCCTCTGTGCTGGGCTCTGTGGCTGGGCCTTGTCCTCTTCTTGTCCTCCTCTTGTCCTTGTCTTGGCCGCGCCCCTGAACTCTGTGGCTGGGCTCTGTGGCCCGGCTCTGTGTCCGGGTCTTGTCCTCCTCTTGTCCTTGTCTTCGCCGCGCCCCTGAACTCTGTGGCCGGTCTTTGTGGCCCGGCTTACTGGAGAGGAGTGTGGCCGAAGAAATAGATTCATTGATGAAGCAGTTTGCTCTTGGGGTGAAAGTAGGGCGAACCAAGAAATCGATTTTTGACTAATATTGGTCTAAACGAAGCGTTTTGAAGCTGTTTGGGGTCTATGCTTGTATAATCTTGTTTTTTGCTAATCAACAGCTCACCCAGATGAAGACACTCAATGACAAGTGTATTAAGTTGCAAGGGCTTTGATGAAGTTGCATTGTCATCGAAGGTCTCACATCAAGCCTTGCCCCAAGCAGCTTAAAGGCACGGAATTTGGCTCGGGAAGATGCCCCCAAGTGAACAACCAATAGATATGGTCCCAAGTTGGCCCCCTCTTTTACTCCAAAAAGGACATCATTTATCCACCTGCTGGGCAAAGAACACCAGGTCCTTCTTTTGAAGCTTTGTTTCTTGGCCAATTGACTTCACAAGTTCGTGCGTTTTTTGGGTGGAGAGGCTAACTTGCAGTGGCCAGTGGTCAAGCATGAGAACGAAAACCAGCTATAGGCCTTCATAAAGGAGGGAAAAAGATGGCTGTCACCAAGCTGTCCTTTTCGGGTGGAAAAGGGCGATATTATTCACATCAACCATTGAATGGGGCTTGATAGGCCATGATGAGGAGGGAATCCTTGAATCTTGAACACATCATTGAGAGGAATGCGAGAAACATGAGTCCGGTGAAATCTGAAATGATTTTTTACCATCAACAACCCACACAAGTCCATGGAACTGGAGTAACTGGAGACTTGTATGTCAAATGCAAGGGGGCCATTAGGTGCCATAGGTACATATTGCCGCTAGCCGCTTAAGTTACAATTCTTGATGAGTTTACCTCCAAGTTCCCCACAGACTGGAGACTGGCATCCAACCCCGGTGCATTTGCTGAGCGCGTTTACGCAGCGCTGCGAGGATGCGAGGAGTGCCCAAAGGACAAGCTCGGACCTTGGGCTTTTTGGTATTGCCTAGTGCATCTAGCCGTTTTGCACACGAGAGTGCAGGCCTTCAATGCCCTGCAAGATTGTCTGAAGGAATTTCCCATGAGCCCCAGTTTGGCGTCATGTCCAGTCAGACAAAGACAGAGAGAGAGAGAGAGTGGCCTTCCTGGGATCACTGGCATCCCCAAGCGGTTTCTCGTCCTGAGGTGTCACCCTGATGATGTTGCAGTGTGCGATGGTTCCCGCTATTGGGAGTGCCAACCTCACGGGGACGGTGGTGGTACTTGTCATGTTTGTGAAGCCAACAGTGGAGTCGCCCTGAAGCGGCTCCGGTCGATGACCATGATGCAACTCTCACAATTTGTGGTCATGTTCTGTCTTGCAGACATGATCCACATGATCAACCTTGGATGCAGAGCAGGGGGTGGTCTATGATTTTCCAGGGCGTGTTTGATGTTGAAAGGCGCAGTCAGTCATCCATCGACGAGTTTCGCAGTCGATCGAGTTTCGACACAAAAGGACACAATTCCCTAATAAGGGGGATAGAATTTAATGCGGAATATCGGCCACACCAGATAGAATGCGGATATAGAATGCAACTATAAATGCCAGATGGAAAGCCAGAATTTATGTCAGATAGAATGTCAGAATATATGCCAGATAAAATGCCAGAAAAGAGGCCAGATAGAATCACGGCAGAATTTATGCAAGATAGAATGCCATCATTTGTTTGCCAGATATCAAACGCCAGATAGATGCCAGAGTATATCCCAGCTACAAGGCCAGAATTTAAGCCAGCTAGAGTGGCAGTGTATGTTTGAAACAATACAGTCACCGGTTGTTAGCCATATATATATACAGTATATGTATAATGCCATCATGGGCTCAAGTGGCTGCAATGGGTATTTCAGAGTCCCACCACGGCACAGCATGCTTGTGCCAAAGGAGATGTTGCCAAAACGTGGAGGGTGAGATGGTAGATGACCTGGTGAGCCACATGGTTCCGAACGACCCAACGGACACCATGATTCCAAATGAAGGCATCAGGTCAGCAGCTATGGCGCAGGCAGAGGAGCTTTCATTCCCATTGGCGGCGGCCCAACCTTGGGGAGCTCCATCCAGTCAGGAAGACCTACGCAGAATCCAGCTGCACTACCAAGCAGAACACGAAGAACAAATGAGGTTACAACAACTGCGGCAAGAAGAGCAGTTCGCTCACCGGCTGGCGTTTCGCCAGATGTTCGGCAACGAGAGTTTATTGAGACACCCCGCTTTGATGCAGCACCTGCACCACAGGAGGTTTCAAGTGACCGGCGACCATTGGGAGAGCTTCGGGAAGGCTGCAAGCCACACTTCTTTATTTGGGAAAGCTGAATATGCGCAAGTATTTCATGACCGTGTTTGGGAAGCTACTGGCGGCGCAGGGCTGTCCAGCACTGAAGTTCCCATCGTTATGTTTGACGACGCTTGGTGAAGGTGTTGCGCTACCTTGTGCTGTGTGAGTGCTGCGACGTGCGACATAGATGCGAAAAAAAGAATGCCATCATGAGAATCGCTCCAAGTAAAGTAGTTGTTTTTTTTGTGGTGTGGGTCCGCATGCTCGACTAGCTGGCGACACAGCAGTGCAAACAAGGTACTCGTAGAATGTGGCGTCATTGGTACTTGTGATGAAGCCTTCGCAGCGACAGGTGCTTGCCCAAAGAGGTGCCTGATAGGGGTGATGGCCGGACTGAACTCTTGTATTTGGCTACATTTGGTTCATTTATGCTGCTGTTTGGAATCAATCTATTTAATGCACGTGTAGCACAGTCAGAGTGCTTGGTCCATTGCCGAATGCCTTGGCAGGCCTTGCTGAAGAGAACCTCAACCACCGAAGGCGGTTCCAGAAAGGGATATGTTTGCATGATGGATGGTTGATGTTGCCAGCCAGCCCTTGGCCTTGCCATGCTGTGCCCGTTCTGCTGCATTTGGACTCAGAAGCATGGCTCGTTGAGCTTGGCTTGCTTCACATGAGACCATGAACATTGGGAGAACCGTGTCGTAGACCATGGTATTCATCGCATTCACATGTGATGCACAAAAGAGTGAAAGAGACCATGCTTTGGAAAATGCCCTCATATGTGGCGGACCATTGTTGACGTGCATGCCAAATAGGTGCTATCATGTTTCGTGAAGCCTAAGTTGCAGACCACCAAGAGCAAGAGCGACTCTTGTCCAGCAACCCAATGCTAAATCAATTGCTGGTTCAGCGGCCACATGGCCACACTGTAATTGTGCTGAAGTTGTGACCCACATCAATCAAGCATATGAGATCCCGATATATTCCGAAAACAAATGGTAGATTAGTCTTTCTGGTCCTTTGCTCCTTCTCAGTTGCCCCGGTGTCCACCTACTCCGCCGGTGTCCACCGGTCATGGCGGATGCTCGGCCGCGTGAAGCTCTCCGGAGCTACCAACTACCAGTCAGTGCAATGAGGAAAATGAGGCAGGCAAAGGAAGATTCATGTGAATCTCAGTGAAAGCCACCTGGTGAAAAGTAGACAGATCTTAGATGAATGAGCAACACTTTGCCCCGTCCAAATGTTGCATCGATTCTACTCACTCTGTGAGGGATGTTTCTTGGGGGCTCCAGGTGTTCGAGCAGGAATGTAAAACTATGCAAAACTACATCAGATGGAGGAATTGCCAGGCAACTTGCGACCAACTCAATACCTTTGAGGCCTTTGGTTGCTTAGGCCTTAGGCAGATTACCAAGCTTGAGGAGATAGCATGGCAATGGGTGAAGAGAGGAGATAAGAAGAGTCACGCTGGGTGCAAGCCAGTTGGGTCTTGCAGCGCTAGGTAGCAAGCCACCCTGAGGTGCAGCCATCATGTGGAGTGGGTGAAGGTTTGAAGAATAAAACCGTTGCTGGTTTAGGGGTACAAGAGGCGTAAAGCATCCTAAAACCATAGTGGTGCACTGGCGACCGTTGGCTTTGCCAATGCAACGTTGGATCAGTTTCGTGGACAGCTGTTGCATGCTGTCGCTAACTGCTAAGGACAAGATGTCGAAGTTTAAGACAGTGAAGAAGGACCTGCAGCGAGGGTGCACCCGAATTATATAGGAGCCCGAAAGTAGCGGTATGCAAGATCCAGATACTGTACACACACATATATATATATAGATGCCTTCGCAGGATAATTTGTAGCCTTTGTTTTGATTTGGGGGTGGTCCCATGTGTCATGTTCAGTTCACCAGCTTTTGGCCTTGTCCATTTATGGCCAGCTTTGGTCCATGGAGGTGCCGCGGGAGCCGCAAGGGAGGCGGTTCCAAAGAATCCGACCAAAGATCACCTGGAGACACAAGCCGTCTTCAGAGTGATCTTGGAGATATAAGTTTATATCAGGTGATTTTTAGCCCAAACATCAGAACAACAAACCAAGACTCTGATTTTGATTTCATCTCTTCAGAGTTTGTTGTTCTGATGTTTGGGTTTTCATTGGTGTTTTTTTTTGGAAACCCGGATGCCAGAGCGAGCGCTTGCTCCAAATGGGACGGTCTTACCACCGTCCTGTTCCGTGTGGTCGGAGCACCGGCTTCCAGACCTCGTGGGGAGGACTTCCGGCTTCCGACGAGACTTCCCAAAAGCGAAAGGCAGGGTCAGGGCAGGGCCTGCCCAGCGGTGCAAGAGCCGGAGGAACCGATGGTTTAGAGAGCCATTTTTAGACCACAAAGCAAGCATACCAGTAGCTAGGTGCCTCAGAGTGCTATGCCTCATTACACCAAGTATCACCAAATACATGCCTGGTGGCCTTTATGTTGGTTGATATTTCTTTTTTCGAAAGCCTTTGAAGGAGGGTTGGCTTCATGAGGCTTACAAGTCGTCCGATCTGGACGACTTGGATTCCACTGTTGCCAGGCCGGAGCCCGAGGTGGACCTGGAGGTGATGCATCATGCAGAGGATATGGACAGTGACTCGGACCGCCCGGGAGGGAGTGGATTTGGGAGAAGTTCTTGGCTTTCATTTGAATGAATGAATGAAGTACAGGCCACACTAGGACAGCCAAGAAAGATCATGATTTTGTCCAGAGATATGGTGAGCCCTATGACACTTGTGTGTGCATTGAGCGAAATCACAAAGCTCAGGTTTGGAGTTTGGCATGTAAATCCAGGTCCATATAGTAGATCCTCCCTGAGATTCACCACAGACATCATGTGTGATGGTTTGGATGTTGTTTAATTGAGTTCTGATTGGCCAAAAGCCTCATGACCTCATGCGGCAGGATGTGGACCCGGCTTACATCTCACCCAAAATCCGTCAGCAGCTGGGTGTGCCCTTGGAGGCCACTGTGTGGCAGCTGGGTGTGTTCTTTCTTGTGCTTCACTTCAGGATGCTTTTGGGGGGCCTTTAGGTCGATGCAAACATGGCCCATGGCACACAGTCTGCACAACTGGTAGCGGGTATAGTGGACATGCTTCATTGCTCAGCAGCGACTCCACAAAGCGTTCGCTTCGGAACATGTTCTGCCAGGTGAAGCTCCCTCCAGCACTGCAAGCAGCAGCTGAGGAGACCGGCTATACCAAGGGTGCCCGGAGCCCAATCCGGACATTTTCCGCTCGCGCCCTCTCATGTCTCCTTTCTCTCATGTCTCATTCGTTCGGTGTCGGCCTGAGGTCCGGAAGATCCAGAAGGCAGTTGTGAAGATGCAGGCGACGAATCACCCAGCGGGAGACCGGCGAATGGTGTGATCCAGGGTGAATAGGTAGCACAAGCAATGTGCAAACTCGACAGAGAAGTTTAGACCAAAGGCCTTTGCATATGTATATAGATGTATATGTATAGATGTGTGTATATAAGTACTTATATAAGTATATGGCTATGCCATTTACATCTCCAGCTGTCATTCCATTGGTGACGTCACCAGGCCTCCAAGAGGGACGACCATTTGAAAGAGAAGCCACCACCAATGGGATCGGTGCATTTCGATGAGCAGCTGCTGCGGAAGCTCTTCCAGAAGATGGACCGCTTCTTGCACCGCCATGTTGACTCGTCAGAGAGATTTGGTGAGAAAGTGCTGCGTGGGAAGACATGGGAAGTTTGTTAAGATGAATGAAGATGTTTGGAGGCTATTTGCCGGTTCATTGGTGGTGGTGTCCTAAGAACCTGCATCCCAAGGCTTTGGGATTATATATACATACTCTAGTAGTGCCTCGGCTTTGGGATTATATATACATACTCTAGTAGTGCCTCGGCTACTAGCCTGTTAGTTCCGCTAAATCCAGCAAACAAGCGTGACATCATTGGCTGCTCGATAGTCTAGAGACTAGAGATGTTTCTTATTTTTCGATATCCATCAGGTGACCTCAGACCTCGTCGAGACGTGAGCCAATCAGATCCTGCCTTGCAGGACTTGGACCATTGCGAGGCGCACAGTCTGTCCGAAGTGCACCCAGGAGTAACTTGTTACCCACGAGTGGATGCTCCTGGAAGTTCAGGGATTGGTCTACGATGTTTAGAGCGGTTCTGTTTTGCGTCATAGTGGCAGAACAGAAGAGCATAGAAGAGCTATGTCACTGTGGGGTCCCTGCATGTGCTAAAGCCTCCAATGTCCTCCCATCAACAGCCACGGCGTGAAGATTGGATCCCCGTGAAAGACCATATTCCCGTGTTTCTTTGAAACCGCGACTAGGGGTGTATGTTCCACTTCCGTGTTGTGGAAAACACAACTAGAGTCCAACGCAAAGCTTACCTGAGTTTGAGATCCATGCTATTGAGGTGTTTTGTTCACCGTTCGACCCGCAACTCCTACCCTTCATTCACCTGTTTGTTCCCAGGCTGCCATCAGCATCCCACCATACAATAGATTGATGGAATGCTGTTCCCACTCATGCTACTTCCCTCCGGCCGCCACAGGATATGCTGTAAATAAAATACTGACTGTAAACATTTCTAAGTTGTAATCTCAAACGGCATATATATATATACAATTAGGCCATCCATGCCCATCCTGCAGCCTAAAACCTGCATCCCTCCCACTCCAGGCCATCAGCAGCAAGGTGCTGCGACATTTATTTCTCCAAATGGGTCGTGAGATCGCGGCAGAAGAGTTGGAGGCCATGATCACCATGGTGGACATGCCCCTTCGACTCAATCCTTCGGGTGAGCAGGAACCCATGGGGGTCGGCCCTCCGAAGGTTTCGGGAAGGCGTTTGAACACGGCTGAAGATCTAAAAACACAACGTCACGAGGCAGAATTCAACTTCTGCAGCACAGACGTCGGGCAGAATTCAATCGCTTTGAGAATTTGCAGAAATGAACTGCAGAAATGTGTGAGTACCACTCGAGAAGAACCAGTGTTGCGACAGATTTTGTGTGGCGGATGAGGAAAGAGATGGGCACCGCCACCTACGAAGATTTTGCCGCCATTTTCGGCAATCCTGTGGCCGCACCCAGACAATCCGGATGAGTACACATGAAGACCGAATAATTACATATCATATTCCTGGCTCCCAAAACCATCTACAACATCTAGGGCTCCTCGGCTAGGGAGGTGGAATTGGCATGAGTTGGCAATCTTTTAAGTTGAGGGATAAGTAGGTCCAGTAGGTGCAGAGTGGTGGAGCATTCTGTAGCTGCAGTCGAACCAGCAATCATCCGCAATCGAAAATGTTCAGGATTGCTTTTGCTTGCCGTTGCCTCGAATTTGCATTGCACAGACAAGCTGAAACAACTTCATCTCAAAGAGCCACACATCACATCCTATCTATTACTAGGCATCTCATTTGTACCGAGACCAGGTTAGATTTGACTGGAGTGAATCAAAAAAGGGTTAAGAAACAAGAAGCTACTAGTAACAAAGGGCATCGCCACGAACCGAACAAGAACGCTACTAGTTAAGCCCATAGCTCACCATGAATCTGATCTTCTTGAGGCTCTCCGATGTTCTCCGCCCTCCGCGCTGCCGAGGCCGAGTCCCTACGCCAGGTGAACGTGGAAGCGGTCCAAGCGGCGGCGCGGGGAGAAGTCAGGCGTGACAGAAATTGCTGGAGAGGGTGTTAGCCGGGATGTTGCTGGCTCTTAGCTGTGTTGTTTGTTCTTGATGATTTGGGAGATTGGTTGGTTCGCATTTCGTGTGAATGGTATTGATATGTATTGATTGGTTGTGACCATATCTAAGATGTTTGCAGACGTTTAAGGAAGGAGATGCTGCAGTAGTAGTCTAGAGTCTACTGTGAGTCTTGCGATGTACCTAAGTGAATTTGAGTGAAGAAACAGGCAAATTTCAGCGGGGGACTGAATGTGAAGGACAGCACAAAGGAGGAAGAAGTAGCATGAAGTAGCAGAGATGCAGTGGCCCGCCTTTGCCTTAAGCTACCCAGACAAGAACCCCAAATTTGTTCCCTCGACCTGGACATCGTGACATCTCATAACTTATACGGCTTTTGCCAACCTGGGAATTTGAAGATGGGTATGCTGGAATAGTTTGTGAGGCTGTTCGTTTGCAGGCACAAGAAGGATCACCTCTTGCCTGAGTTGGAGGAGGATAGCGAGGAAGAAGACCAGAATAGTGATGGTGAAGATCAAGAGGAGGAAGATGACGCCGTTGAAAATGGTTGATTCCTCACATTCAGGCCTTGTCCAGAGATTTTCCAGTAGGCCCTGGGCCGTTTTGGCCAAAAGTTGACAATCTTGTCGTCTCGTCGGTGTTTTTCCCGAATGCGTAGCGAAGGGTTCCCGTTTATAGTTGGGGGTCTGGGGGTTGGAGCTGTGTTCGCGTGGCTTGCGTCGTGTCGTCGTCTCTCGTCGTCTGTCGTCGTCTCTGGTCGTTTGTCGTCGTCGTCGCGTCTCAAATTTGCTGCCATTGGGGGAAGCTTTTGCAAGGGACTTTGCATGGACGTGTCACGTGTCAGTTTGCGTCGCTATTCCATTGTGATTTGCATGACACCGACATGTCGCGCAAGGAACGTGATGCATTTCGCTGCACAGGCGCAGCGTTTTGTGAGATCCGCAGTTTGCTGCGCGGTGCCATTGGGATTAGCGTTTGGAGAGTCGTGTTTTTGGGGTGTTGGATGTGGCCGTGCCATTGGGATTTGCGTTTCAGGGTGTGGCATCGAAGCTCTGTTTTCGTGACAAGTCTCAGCTGAAATGGCGATTTTGATGGATGGGAGTGTGCTCTGAACGGGTCGAAATCATTCCAAACGTGTGGTGTGGTGCAAATTTTGTTGAAGCTCACATGCGATGATATTGTCACTTTTCGTGGCAGGCGCAGGGAATCGTGAGGTTGCGAGGTGTGAGGGAGGTGACATTTCGTGGCAGGCGCAGTACTTTGTGCGCGTTAGACGTGTGGATGGGGAAAGATTCGTGGCAGGCGCAGGGAATCGTGAGGTTGTGAGTTGTGGTAGAGGTGAATGTCGCTGTCCCATTGGGATTGGCGTGTGAGCGGATGTTGTTTGGAGGGCTGGAATCGCGAAACTGCTTGGCAGGGCTGCGTGATGTGTGTGCTCCGATGGGTGTTTCCGCTTGACTTTTGGAGGAAGTCTCGTACGAAACGCTCGTTTTGCAGACTTTGACGTGTGAGTTTTTGAGGAAGTCTCGTACGAAACGCTCGTTTTGGAGACTTGACGCGCAACCCTCTGCGGAGATCGTGCGTGTCGAGTGCACCAAATGCAGGCGAGAGTGCGATTTGTCCCATGCGCGCGCAACCCTCTG